AACGTTCCTGTGGAAAAATGAAGGCTCCCTTCCCGCGTGTAATGATAGGGTTTAGGGGGAGAGTGAGAGAGAGAGAGCTGGGTGGAAGACAGATAGGCAGGCAGGAGACAGACGTGCAGGAACAAAGGGCACACAAAAGGCTGCTGTCCAACACTTGCACCCATGCGCTCCTTAGCATAAATGCATGGCTCTCATTCGCGTGCTGTTGAAGTGGTTTTAATAAAGGCAAAAGCTTAGGGCAGCTCTGAGGGTCTTTCAGTTTCGTGTGCTGCTCTGCTGCATACGTATGGAAGTAAAAACGCTCGCGCGTGCACACACACGCAGCAAAAACGACAAAAAAATGGCACAAGCAGGCAAGTGCTGACAACTTAATGCGTTCGTACTTGCACCACCCACTTGAATGTGGTGTTGATGAGGCGAACGATTATGGCGATGATACATTTGGATGACGGTGATGAATATGAGATAATGACAATGAAGATTGCGATGCGCATTCGATGTGATACGATGATACAATGAAGCTGGAAATATTTCAATAATTTCTGATGATGACGAAAGATACTTGGTGAAGCTATTAGAGGATAGTAATTGGAATATGATGGGGATGATAAAACTATAAGTTGGTGATAATGAAAACGTGTTGACATGTTTTTAAGTGCCATTGGTAATAGCACACAGTACGAAGAGCAGTACTGCTGTGTGGACACTAATGATTAAGCTGTTTCATCAGAGTTGCATTAGGGTGTTCCTTCACACACTATCCATAACAACTTGGGCCCCATCATTCCAATTCCTCTGGGTAGTGCCTTTTCACACCCTTAACCCCATTCAAGGCCCACTGGCAATGACCTGGTATTATTACTGTGGGTTATTAAGCCCTTATATCATAATGTACTCGGCAAGGCGATGGAACAGTCGGAAGGTTGCATAGCTCTCCGATGCGTTTTCGTGTCAGTGATGTCTGATATTTCGCTCCCAGCAAGTTGAGTGAATTGTTGGACATCGTGCCGGCCACAAGTGATTCAAGCTCAAAGCACGCGGAACAGCGGTTGTGGCACAAACGCACAAACGTGTCCGCAGTAGAATGTTGCATATTCAAATTCCGGTTTGTGGCCCCATCATCAGCTTCCCCCAAATGGGTCCGAAAGGCAATGACCACTTTGTGAGGTGTCAGAAATGTTTCACCCAATGGAGAGATGTGGCCTCGTCATGGGAACGTGGAATTTATCCGTTGTTCATTGACTTGCGATCCGCGAATCACATCTGAAACTCTGCACGACTGCATCGAGAGAGAGAGAGAGCGAGAATGTGATGAGATAAAGTGAGAATTTAAAGTAAATTCATTTATAAACTATTATTTAATGCAACCAATTTTTATTTAGTTGCGTTTTTTATAATTTTCATGTGTTATAATAGCTTATTTATTTACGGCAATTTCTTTTTAAAAAATTCGGTTTTCGTAGGCCAATATCATTATCCTTTGAGTATTGCTAATTCAAGAGCATCTCCGACACGTGTCCCTCGATGCGAATAACGAGGGAACACCGGCACTGATGGAGACACGGCGGTGGTGCCGTGGTTAGGGCTCTGCACCACTGAACCCGCCAGCCTGGGTTACATTGCCAGCCATGGCGAACATCGGTGGAAAGTCAAACCTCTCTTGAATCTCCCACCCTGTTGCCTCTCCACACTGGCCAGTGTGTGGTGAAGTACGGTCATACAACCACAATGGCTGGCACGGCATGGAGAGACCTTTTCAATAGGGTCCTGCGTTTCTGGATGTTTGGCAATTTCCATGTTTGTGTGTTTTGGCCGATGGGTGGGTAACCGGTGTGTGCCCAGAACATACCCAAGCATACAGGGGGACAATACTCAGAATCAGAATGTTTATTTAGACTGGGCAGCTTGAGGTGCCGTGGTGGCGAGATGGAGAAGGTCGTGGGTTCGATCCTGACCCTGATGCCTCCTCTATATTTGGAGTTAGAAACATGCATTTAGAGTATTTGACTGATATTTATTTCCACATTCATGAGCCACTTTTTTGAGCTATCATTTGTGGCCAGGTCTCTTCTGAGAAAGAGCTATTATAGCTCAGTGGGCCTTACCTGGTAAAATTTTAAAAAATAGTTATTGTGGAAAAGTTTCATCTTGGTGCCATAGGGAGCCAGTGGTGGTGTGGGTGCTGTCTTCATCAGTAACGATAAGAGGATATGACCCCGGGTGCTGTTAATGGAAAAGCATTTGCTTCCTTAGTGAAACACATGGAAAAATGAGAAACTATCACACGCTATGGATAGCGTAGGAGACATTGGCATTGTGCAGAGGTCAAGATTCCCACTCAGTCCTGTCTGCCCCGCTTGGTTATTCTGTTTTTCTGATTTATTTATCGTGTGGAAAACGAGACAATAAAAAAAAAAATTTGCTTTCACCCCCAACGCACCGCCGGTTCTTGGCAATGTTTTAAGAATAAAGCTGCCCGATTTTGGATGTGTTTATTAATCTCACCGGGGAATTCACGCAGCTGTGCGTTCGCACTTCTGCTTTGCCCGTGTGTCTCTTTAAAAAAAAAATGCTAATTTGTCATCGTGAAACTCAAGTGTCTTTTTCATAATTGAGGGTCGATGTCCATGATAGATGCTTTTCATCTTTCATGATCTTCGTGGTCTCTAAAAGAGTCCTGACCAGCAGCTTGCATTCTCTGCCCAAATCATCCATATTCTTATTCCACGACCCTCTTCCCTAACATTTTCCATTGTAGGATCATCTTTGTGATATCTCCATCTGTAACCTTCTTAGGATATGCCCCACACAAGCCACATTTCTTCCCCCACACAAGCCACATCTTCATTCTTCCTCTTTATTCATATGCCAGCTTACTCCTTACCATTCATCTGCAACACCGCATCTCAGCGGCACCTACCATCGTTTAAACCTGAGCCTGTTCGCCCTGTGTTCCTTCGTGCGGGCGGGCGGGCATTGGGGGGCCGAGCACATTTTCGTGCAGTGGGAGCACTTTAGCTGGTAGCCCCATTGTGCTGACAATGTATCATTTTCGCCTATGTAAAAAAAAAGCTTTGAAATAAGCAACACGACTATTTTGAAAATGAAACCCCAACTCGCCGCTGCGCATTCAAATTTTGGATGCCCCGTGGTCAACGGGCGTTGGGGTCCGCATGATAATATTTTTTTTTTACTCGAGCGGCAGACGACGATGATGACGATGCGGCGAGCGCATTGACCCCCCCCCCCCCCGACGCCCCCCCCCCATTTCCCGCCCTCCTTTGTGTGGGCGAACCGAGTGGGTGGCTTAAATGTGTGAATTTGATATTCGTGCGAGCCGTGTGGGCTGCGATGAGCCGGTGGTGGGGGGGCGGATTGGTGGTTGTGTGGCTCCTGCGAGCAATTTTTCAAGAGCCCGGGGACGGCGTGTGCCGCGCTCGCTCGGCAAAAAGTAAAAGTGGCCGCTAGTTTGTGCGATCAAAATGTCTCGTCCGCCCTGCGTGACTGCGTTTTGTGGTCGTGTTGTTCGTTATAATTTGTCGGCGAATATGTAACCCCCCATTGCCTTTCGTTATTCATCGCTTGCTTTATCATCTCTTTTTTTTTATCAATCTATCATTTTTGAAGTCGCATTAATAATAAATGTTGTCCACAATATCATGGTCAGGACCACGTAAACAACCGCAATTGTCAACGCTTGCCGTCATCATCATATTCACCATCACTTTAAATCACGCCACCACCACCACCACGATCATCATCGCTGCCGCCACGACAATTATCGCCACTGCAAGCACCATCAGCACTCCCTCCACTGCGATAACCACCATTATCACCGCCACAATATGTAATAGCAATCCATCACTTTAATGCCCTTGCAATGCAAAACCACTCTGCACTATTCCCGTCGGCTTTGCTCGCATTGGAATATACCTTGATCACCATTCATCATCATCGGCCATGGTCAATCCACCATCATTGCAAGTCCTCTGGTGCTGGAGTGTGGTTGGCATGGGCCCCTGGTGCAAGGAATTCAATGTGGGGGGGGGGGGGGGGGGTTGTGCAATGTGCCCCAGCACGTGGGCCACCGGTGCAGACGCACCACGTTACGTGCTCGATGGCGACGGCTATTGTGTAACGGGCGAATATTTTGGGAAATTGCTATGCACACAGCAGCGTTCGTTGATGGTAATGCTCCACGTTCATTGAGCTGTGGGGCAGTGGTCATCCTCGTTGGTCGCTCTTAAGCCAGTGGTGGAAATTCCGCATTCGCTACGGCGAGGACCTCACACGCGTGATTCCCGCAGGTATCCCGAGGCCTCGATGGGCAGTTCCCATGTTCACCCTTTCCCCCACGAGGAAACGTCTGCAAGTTGCAGGGTCTGGTCCTGTTCACCGCTGGATCCCGGAACGTGCAAGCGGCTCGGCGTTCATTTTATTTAGACAGGCGTCGTAGCGCCGTTGCTTTTAAAAGACATTGCAATCACCACGGAGAACTGTAGCGACACGACCGCACTCCCTCCCGCATCTCCTTGTGGGAGTCTCGGTATTGATAAAGTTATTTTATTTCAGTTTTTTCTTATCAGAATGGGAAAGGGTTAACTGGCCTAACAATTAGTAACCGATCGGTTCCCTTTATTATATTTTAGCTTTTCTTCTGATTCCATACGTACACGTACGTCATCGGAACAAAATAAAAAAAGTTATTTTTTAAGGGTTAATAACATCCCCAGTTCAACGCGAAGTGGAACATTTACAATCACGCGCCCTTCCGCATGATCTTGCGGGAGCCTCGGTACGTCTTCCGACCTGTACTGATATAAAATAATTTTCGGATTTTCCGATTCCCGTACGTACGCGTACGCCGTCGCAAACCGAGTCTCCACCTTCAGTGTGGAAAGGGTCAATAACATCCACAGCTCATCGCGAGCGCAACATTTCCAATCACACTGGACGATGCCCCCCCCTCCCGTCTCTCCCCCCCACCACCGCCGCCGCAGGACGTACGAGGCCTGCGCGAGCAGATCGGCCGCGTCAAACGGTCGCAGCAGCGCGTGCCGCTGGTGCTCGTGGGCAACAAGGCGGACCTGGCGGGCCCCGGCGGCGAGCGAGAGGTGGCCGAGGCGGACGGGCGCGCGCTGGCGCGCGAGTGGGGCTGCCCCTTCCTCGAGGCGTCGGCCAAGACGCGGCAGGGCGTGGACGAGCTGTTCGCCGAGGTGGTGCGCGAGATGAGCTGCGTCGGCGAGTCCGAGTCGCGGGCGCGCTGCGCGCAGTGCTCGCTGCAGTAGCGGCACGCGCCGGGGCGCGAGCGGGCGCACGCACGCGCGGGGAGGGCGCGTGCGTGCGTGCGCTCACACACACCTGCAGGTTGGTGGTGGCGGACTTTTTTTCTGTTCTTGTTTTTTTTTCTCACCGATTTTTTTTTTTTTTTTTTACGGAGCGTCACGGTGGCGAGATGTTAAATCCCTCGCCTGGTATGCAGGAGGTTCGTGGGATCAATCCTGAACCTGATGTTCTCCGCCGTGGTCGCGTTCAGAGTATTTAGCTGCGATAAATGTTTACATGATAAGCCAATTTGTTGAGCTATCATTTGTGGCCAAGTCGCTTCTGACAAAGAGCTATGTAGCTCAGTGGGCCTTACCTGGTAAAATAAAAGTAGTTTATAGTTTTTTGTATGGAGGTATGTTGAACTTCTTTCGCACGCATTGTAGCAATACACTTTTAAATATACAGGGTGCTCCAGCTGTCTTGTGGCCCCACATTTTAAATGTTTTATAGAATTAAGTGGGTGTCACAAGACACCTGGGCCACCCTGTAGATTGAAAACTCATTTCTTTAGAACTCCTTTTTGTGTTTAGTTTGTTGTCCTTCCCCAAGCACCTCCGATTAGCATGGTTGGCTACGTACGGGGCAATTGAACTTCAACGTACATCCATACAGACACCCATAGACTCGCACACATAAGTATGTTTTATGGTTATATTTTGTATGACTATATTTCAACATGCTGCTCAAGTTCCTCAGTGTGGGTTGGTGGAGTGGATGGGGGGTTGTATGCAGGACGAGTTCAAAACAATCACCACGGATGTTATGTACGTACGTATGTTGAACTTCTTTCGCACCATATGTAGCCAACCATGCTCATCGGAGGTGCAGGGGAAGGACAACAAACTAAACACAAAAGCAGTTCTAAATTTTTTTTATTTTATTTAGTAACACATTCCTGTGGAGGGAGTTGGTAGGAACGTTGGGTTGCTCGGTCAATGGCCAGGGTCAACGGCGGCGTGGTGTATTCCGCAAATATGCCCGACTGTGAGGGCGGGCACAAGCCGGCGTGAGTAGGTTAAACGTTGAGTTTTATAAGGGCATCACGGGGTGACCAGCCCCTCCCCACCCAGCCCCTCCCCACCCTCCCCACCCAGCCCCTCCCCACCCAGCCCCTCCCCACCCTCCCCACCCAACCCCTCCCCACCCTCCCCTCCCCACCTCTCCCTGCACGACGGACACAATAATCTCCGGTGAGCTGGTGTAACCAGGAGATTCCTACCAGTATAATGTTGTAGTGTGTAGCAGCGTGGTGTATAGTCTGTAGTGTATAGTGTAGTATATAGCAGTATGTTCGAGGTGCGGTGGAAGCAGAACAAACTAAACACAAAAGCAGTAAACAAGAGCCTGGTACAGAGTGCGAGCGACGACGGGGAATGGGAGTTACAGATGTTCCACGAACGACAAGCCCCTGAGGCCAGCCGGATGCCCTCGGGGCAGGGAAAGGTGGCTGGGAACACGGCCCTTACTAACGTAGGAGCAACGTTCAGGTTCGCGGCCTTTTTCAGTTGGGGGGGGGGACGTGGGGGGGCGGTAGTTGTGCTGTTGTCGCCGTGCATGTCGATCACGATCAGCGCTCACCCCATTTGAGTTCCGGATTTGTTTTGGGTTTTTTTTGGCAGGCATTTGCATGGTGGGGTAAATCGTGATCCGCGTGACGTATTTCGCTACGTCGCGCCTTGCGAAAGGTGTAAGGCAAGTAGTCCCGCGGTGCTCACGGAGTTAATAAGCACGGATTGAAGAGGGCACTCGCGGCTGTATCGCGCGTGCCGTTGCTTTGCATGCTGGGAGCTTCTGAATTTAGATTCTGTGGCAGCTTTCACTTAAAGAAAAAAAAAGTGGAGCGGCACTCATCTCTGTTGGCAGCTTTTAGCTAGTGGAGGAAATTACACATTGCCATGGTGGGGGACAGTTAGGCTCTCTATAGGAAGACCATTTTTTTGGGGTCTTTCGGTAAAGTCACGTAGATCGGTTCAAAGAAAATAACATGAATACGTTTTTGTTATTTTTGTTATTTTCTTTGAACCTATCTACGTAACTTTACCGAAAGACCCCAAAGAATATGAATTCCTGCAGTCACGAAAGCTTTGCCAGGAAGACCATTGTTGAAATTCCACATTTGCATAGCCGTTGGCAATAACCAGGCACAATGGTTACACATTTTAAACAAACATTATTTTGGTGCCTACGAGGTGGAAATGTATCAGGACCATAGAGCGATGAGTGTGTGGACTGTGAATGCCTTGGCTTAATGCGCCTGGCTCTCAACTGATATGGAAGTGCGTTTATTTTTCCGACCCAGCCTCTTTTGTCCATTCTCCCTTTGCTTCCTGCCACCAAGACTTTATGGGTTGCGGGCAGCAGGGGAGAGAGGAGAGAGAGGAGAGAGGAAAAAAAACAATAAAGCTGCCTGAGACATAAACCCATTTTGACGGTGTCCAGGGATGCGAGCAGGCAAACTGAAAAGTGGGTTTCTTTCTCACCGAACGCAGCCCTAGAGGCAAATCAATACCTCCCGTCGTCCCTCGCCACTCACACGGCACTGTGGCCGGCGCCACATTCCCCGCACGTGCGTGGCGAGAGCACGGCGAATGCAGGGGGGCGCGACGACACGTCAATACTCGTGCAAAAAATGGATGGTGTTTCTTTTCAATTGAAATCCACGTTGTGTGTGCGTACATTGAACTTCTTTCGCACCGTACAGAGGTGAAGGGTCAGCCCTGCAGTTTCTTGCTCAAGCCACTGTTGGCAGAAGGGCCCTCTAAGAGAAGGAGATCTCCAGTAGGTGCCCCCTTAGGGCCTATTTTGGCCTCCTCTTCCACACTGGTTCTGCAGACATCGTGGAAAAAGGTGACGGACTCTGCTGTTGCATCCCGTTTATGATGCCGGGCGGGCCGAGGCAAGGGAATTAAGAAACTTTCCAGCATTGTTTGAACCGCCAAGCCGGGAGACCGAACCAATGGCCTCTGAATTGCAAGTTGAGTGTCATAATAACCATTACACCACGGCACAATCCTATGTTGTATGCACCGGGGTTCATATGACACGCACGCAGCCACTGGTGCCCACTGCATTAGTCACAATGTCAAAAAATATAATAATAATAATAATCAGTTGTTGGATTTAATTTTGCGAGGGGTTTATTTTCCAGTTATTTATCAATTGGGAAACGCGCGTTCGTATGAAGCGAAGGTAAAGTGATTCACATTAAAAACTGTCACAGCTTGCGGTACACAACCTCGTGTCAAACAATCGCCATGAAAGTTCTAATTCACAGAATTATGTTTTGAAGTCACTTGAATGGGACTACCTTGCACCTTCTGAAAATGCCCTTCTAATAGAAATGTTCTCCACGTGGCAGTCAACAGAGCTTGAGATTTACTGAACGAATAAAAAAATATATGTTATATCATGCTTTGTTTTGAATTGTATTGTCATTGGTGGCCAGGCTGAGACCATCAGTTAAGTACACTTGAAAAACCCACTTTAAATAAGGCTGTCTGTAACCTTGATTCGATCTCGCCCCTAGGTCAAGGGTCTAATATGGGCATTTATATAAACCTTCTGGTCCACCTGCAATGAGTTTGATGTTGTCCAGTCACCAGAAACTGCACAAAAATCCATTTCACTTAATTCAGCGTAACCTGGCTTTGAGGTTGAAAGTTTACAAACATATCGGATGACTGACACGCAGTCTGAAATTAGCCAGGCGTGCACACTGCTGCCCACACACCACTCCCTTCATGAGTGTGCTACGTTGGCCACTTTGATAGGCATTTGCTAACCTTTTTTCATGGAATTATCTTTCAGTTGTATTTTATTTATTTATCATTTGCAGGATGTCGGCCTGATGCCCCCCTCCCCCAAAATCCATTGCGAACAGTCAATTACAGTCTCTCCTCGTGATAACAGCTCGGTAGAAGAGAAGGAATTCTTACATCAGGGGGCATGGAACTTCCTTGTTTGCGTGACAAAATAATAAGGGGGCAGGGCCCTTAGCAAAAACAAACACTTGGGGCTTCATGAGTATTTATCGACATCCCAGAGGGAGACCCAAGCAGGTCTTCAACAAAGTAAAGGCATTTTTTGGTGATGATATTTTGCTTTTGCTAATTGCTGAGCCACAAAGCACACTTCCTTTCACGATTAATAATTTACGCGCTTCTCGGAAATGTGCGCACGCACGCACGCACGCACGCGTGCGCACACATCGTCCACGCGCACAAGCATGCGCGCGTCGCAAACGCAACCGCACACAAGCAACACGAACTATTCTTTACAAGAAACCGTGGTCAGGAGAGTAAATTCGTGAGCAAAATAAAATAAAAATTCAATAAAGGGTAATGTTCCCATTATCAACTCGGGTGGAGTAAAAGCCACATTGCTTACTCTAGCCAGTGACTCTGTGTGCTTAAATCGCAGACCTGCAAACCTGTAATAAAAAAAGGTTTCTGCTCGCTAAGTGGACCCAAGGCATCGTTGCACCAAAATTCCAACCGAGCGAATGGTGGTGGTGGTGGCGTGTGTGTGTGTGCGGTGTCGTAACATTTTACATTTGCCACACGTCCGCGGGCGCCTGTGGAAACGAAAACTTCACAGGACACGAACAGCGAACATCGTGGCGCTCAACGCACGAACGATTTCTGTTTGGCTTTTCAGTCAATACCAATTTAAGTTACGTACGCACAGTGTGTGTGTGTTTTTCATTTTTTTTAAAAAAAACGTCCTATTATATTTATTTATTTTGCAAGCTTTTAGGGGAATATCCTGGTTCAAACTGGCCCGAGCCACAAAGGAGACCAATTCTCACCGCTCGCCATTCATCCAACACCTTCATTCCTCCACTGCCATTCAAAATATAGCCCACCCAGGTCTCAATGCAGTGCGTTATCCAGTACCTTGTGGACGGTTGAAACGTGTAGGTATTCTACAAGTTCAAGTTCTTTTCAGTTTAAGCAGAGTGAGGACTCAAGAGACCAGGATAGTCTCATGAGCAAGACAAGACAAAGATTCCCCGTGTAGCCTTAACAGACTGTTGGGGC